GCTAGTTAACTCTGAACTACAGCTAGTTAACTGAGCTACAGTTAGTCATAACTGAGACACAGCTAGTTAACTCTGAACTACAGCTAGTTAACTGAGCTACAGTTAGTCATAACTGAGACACAGCTAGTTAACTCTGAACTACAGCTAGTTAACTGAGCTACAGTTAGTCATAACTGAGACACAGCTAGTTAACTCTGAACTACAGCTAGTTAACTCTGTACTACAGCTAGTTAACTGAGCTACAGTTAGTTATAACTGAGACACAGCTAGTTAACTCTGAACTACAGCTAGTTAAGTGAGATACAACTAGTTACAGCTGAGCTACTGCTAGTTAACTCTGAACACCAGCTAGTCAACTGAGATACAGACTGTAGCTCAGTTAACTAGCTGTAGTTCAGAGTTAACTAGCTGTGTCTCAGTTATGACTAACTGTAGCTCAGTTAACTAGCTGTAGTTCAGAGTTAACTAGCTGTGTCTCAGTTATAACTAACTGTAGCTCAGTTAACTAGCTGTAGTTCAGAGTTAACTAGCTGTGTCTCAGTTATAACTAACTGTAGCCTACAGTTAGTTATAACTGAGACAGATAGTTACAGCTGAGCTATAGCTAGTTAACTTACTAGCTACAGTACAGCTTGTAGTAGCAACTAGTAGTAGTACAGCTTACTATTTACAGCTAGCTCTGAGCTCCAGCTAGTTAACGTTAAGAGTTAATAGATTGTTAGTCTCTCAGCATTATTGCAGATCCACTGATGGTGCAGACTGATCACAAACCTGATAAATATAAAGTTTTAGCACCATTTGGAAAAAATTCTGTGCAAACATGATGTGCAAAAAGGAAAATATTCTTATTGTACCGTTTTGACACTTTCCTTCAAAACAAGTGATGCATAAAGTTTTAACAACCAAGATTTGTGTCTTTGTGTTGCAGCTTTTTTTGTTTTTAAAATCACAAGTCCAAGCTAATTTTATTTCAGTTTAGTTTTGTGTGCTTAAAGCTCTGTTCCTGCTAGGCTCAAAATAAAATCCACTTCTTTAACTTCTTTAAGTCAGACAGTTTAACATCAACAAGACGTCTGTTAGTTGTACAGTGTGTGTTGTTGTATTATTATCAGTCAGACTGAAACATTTTATCATCAGAATCTGGGACGATGTGATTGGTGCAAAATGTCTGACAGAAAAAATTCATTGAAATCAGAAAATACTCAAATCTAACAGGAGATTAATCTTTAGTATTGGTTTATAAATCAGTCTAAATCTGAATCTGATCAATGAATTTTGTGCTTTATAATTTATATTAAAGTTTGGAGTCTTTAGCGCTACATTTTATCTTGAGTCAGAACCAGAAACCTGAAAAATCCCTGCAGTTCCTGAATCCAAACTAAAGCTAACAGAGTAAAGCTACTTTATTTATTTAGTTAAATAAATCAATGATTAAAGGAACCAAAGTGAACATATTTTAACATCACACAGTTGATGTTAGCTCACATTAAAGCTATTTTATCTAAATAAATAATGTATTTGTGCTTCTCAGCTGAACCTCGGTGGTTCTGACGCCGCGGGGCGGCTTCCAGCCGATCACACGGAGTTAACCAGAGTTCAGCTGGAATAAAACGAGTCGGTGCTTCAGTAAACTGCAGGGGCCGCCGGGGTCTGCTCCAACATCTGTCCAGCTGTTTGACATCAAACAGGACCGGCCGCTGGACTCTGAGCCTGCAGGAGCTCCTGAATGGAGAGGAGGCGGGACAGATGAAGAATAGAGGTCCACCTGCTGCTGCTGAGCGTCCAGCAGGTGGGAACAAAGACGGTGTGGGGCTCGGGGGGGACCACCCGTAAAGAAACAAACCGCTTGATGTGTTCGTGTCAGACCTCCTCACAGACCACTGAGGCCCCAGGTGGGTTTACATGTGCAGAAGCTCATCACGTTTTCACCAGTTTTCTGAGCGTTAAGCTTCCTGCTGCAGCTGCAGCACCTGAGCCTCTGAGGTTCACCTGAGTCTCTGAGGTTCACCTGAGTCTCTGAGGTCCACCTGAGTCTCTGAGGTTCACCTGAGTCTCTGAGGTTCACCTGAGCCTCTGAGGTTCACCTGAGCCTCTGAGGTTCACCTGAGTCTCTGAGGTTCATCTGAGCCTCTGAGGTTCACCTGAGTCTCTGAGGTTCACCGCCTCGCTTCGCTTCATGGACCTAAAAACATTTTCTCTACAAATGGATGCTTCTGTTCTGCTCTTTGCTTTAAACTCACACTAATTATCCAATTAGTCCATAACACAAACGGCTTTATTCTTCTAACAGTGCAGCGTTTGTTTCTGCAGCACAATTAGCCTAGCTTAGCATAAAGACTGGCAGCAGAAGGAAACTGCTAGCATGGCTCGGATTAAGTGCCTTTCACTTACAGTTCATGAAGTTATTTCTTCAAACTCATCTTTTCCACTTCAGTCTTAAAAAGTTTAGAGTAAAATAATCCAGAGAGGAAGATGAGATTATCGAGGAAGACTTGGTTTAAAAACACAAATAAAATAAATGCTGTTTGAGCCTGTCATCACCTGCACCAGGTATTTAAAATAACTGAAATCAGACGCGTTTGTGATTTATTTTTAACATAAATCCTAAAATCTAAGGGAGACATGCGCCTCAAACTGTGCTGCAAACTAAACTGTGTTATTGTTATGAATTGGCAGAAATGAACCCAGGGTGCAGGCAGCTTCCAAAAGGAAAAAATAAAGATGTAATAAACAAAAACCGCTGGCAGGGCAGCTCAAAAACTCACTTGGTATAACTAGGCAACAAACATACAGGCTGTGAACAGCACAATGATCAGACAGGGAAGTGAAGACAAGACTCAGAATTTAAAGGTGAGACTAACGAGCACAAACAGGAAACACCTGGGAGAGAAACATGAGGAGCAGGTGAGAGTGGGCGGGGCTGGAGCAAAGGCAGACAGGAGGAAGAAAACAGATGACAAGACAGGAACTAAAATAAAACATTAACACAGACAACAATCATAACAGTTATTTATTTATTTATTTATTTATTTATTTATTTATTTATTTATTGTTATTGCACTGGTGCAGATAGTTTGTTAGGCTTTGTTTAAAAATAAAATAAACTCTTTTCATTTAAGAGAAAAGAGAAATGAACAACGGTCCAACATACAGACCCAGGCTCTGGTTCTTCCTTTGTGTTGTGACTTATTGTTAATGCCATCATTGTTGCCCCCTACTGGTGCAGGATGATTATTACAGTGTTTTTATTAGATCTAATTGATTTTTGGATCTTTAACGAGCTMCAACTTGTTTCCTCCTGCTTCTATTAAAACCAGTTAAATGAACCGAACCTCTTTTAACGTGCAAATAAATCAGCTTTAGAACATTTGTGTGCTTTAAGTTGTGTTATTTAATGTTTGTTTACGTGTTTAAATGTGTTGTTAAAGTGAAAAAGGGCAGATTGTGCATAGAAGCGTGTCGTCGGCGTCTAGTGGCCGTTTAACCCGTTGTTGACGCACAGCTCCCTCTCTAATTGGTCGGTCGCTGCTGACATCACATTCTGAACAATAGCCACTGCTGCATCTCGAAGATCCCTCTTCCTCAACTCCTCCTCCTCCTCCTCCTCCTCCTCCTCCCACTCTCCCTGGTCACATGAATTTCCAGCATCGTGGCAGCCTCCATTTTGTGGAGACTCCTCCTCCTCCTGCTGCTCCTCCCTGCTCTGGGTTAGCTCTACTTCCTGGTTGAGTATTGTTTGTTTATTGCTAATGTTAGCTAGCGCTTGTTGTTTATCAGCTTCTTCTTTGTTGCTGTGTGGAGGCTCGTCAGAGTCCCGCTCAGTGCACTCCAACTCACCACTGTTCACAGCTGCCGTGGCGTTGATAATCTTGGCGTTGGCGTCGTCTTTCACTCCTCCCACCTCCTTGCTCTTCTTCACCAGGCTGCTCTCTGTCGTCTCCTCCTCCTCCTCCTCCTGGTGGTTCTGCGTTGCGTTCTCCTCCGCCGTGCCGTTGGCGCAGCCGTTCTCTCCGTTGGTGACCGGAGCGTCGCTCGGTGTCTCCTCGGGTTCTTTCGCCGCCTCGGCCCCGCTCGCCTCCGCCGGCGTCTTGTCGGCGGCAGATTTGTCGTTGGTTTCCTCAGTCGCCACCGCGGCCTCYCCGTCGGCGCCTCCCTCCTCCTCCTCCACGGCTTCGCCTCCTTCCGCGGCCTCCTCTCCCTCCTTGGCGCCCTCGCCCTGGTCCACGCTACTGGACTTGCCCTTCCTCATGATGAAGTTCTTCAGGGAAACGGCGCGGCCGAAGTGTGTGCGCTTGGCCTTGGCTGACTTGGCGTCTTTGCCTTCGTCTGCCTCCTCACCTGGAGAGAGGAGTCATGAACAGGATTAAAATAATGATGTAACGTTTAAAACTTCCTGAAGAAAATAAAGATTACAGCAGTGAAGTCTAAGTGACGAGCAGGGGCAAACAAACGGCATCTTAAATGTTCTGAACTTCCTCCTGTGAGCCACAGAGAAAAATGTTGCTTTTAATTTTGAACGTTTTAAAAAATTTTCATAGCCATCTATTCAAACTGTTTTATTTAGAGCAGGGCTATCCACCTAAGTAAGAAGTACATATTCACAAGGTGCTGTCCAATCATCATCAACAATGTAAAAATGGCGGAAAGACAAATTAGAACAAAATAAAACATAAACAACATAATGAAACTTCAAACCAAGAAGCGCTAGACATGGGTTTTTACGATGTAAAAACAAGTGTGCATTGCCACGTAGCATGTCATTGCAGCATGGCTTTGCCT